TCGAGTTCTTGCTTTCCTTTTACTTGTATTATACCTTTCTATTTGTATTTCTTCTTTTGAGTTCTTATACTAGGGAAACTATATGATATTTACACATGTGTGTCTGGTTTATTTCACTTATGAATATATCTTCAAGTGGCATCCACTTCAATATAAAGACTTGGAGTTTATCATTCTTTATAGCTGAGTTATACTCCATTGTATAAAAAAACCACATCTTTTTCAACCATTCCTCAGGTGATGGGCATCTTGGTTGTTTCCAAGATTTGGCTACCACAAATTATGCTGCTATAAACATAGGCACACATATATCCCTATGATACGATGTTTTCAGTTCTCCAGGAAAATTCCCAGTAAAGGAATAGCTGGTTTAAATGGGATTTCCAGTACAAGTTTTCTAAGGAGTCTGCACACTGATTTCCATAACGGTTGCACCAGTCTACATTCCCACCAGCAGTGAAGAAGGGTTCCTTTTTCCCTACAGCCTCTCCAGCATTTGTTGTTGGTTGATTTCTTTATGATAGCCATTCTTTCTGGGGTGAGATGATATCTCACTGTTGTTTTTAATTTGCATTTCATGGATGGCTAGTGATGTGGAGGATTTTTTCATATATTTATTCGAAAAATATGGAACACTTCATGAATTTGCGTATCATCCTTGTGCAGGGACCCTGCTAATCTTCTCTGTATCGTTCCAATTTTAGTATATGTGCTGCTGAAGTGAGCACTCAGTTCTCTTTTGATTAGGCACAGCCACTATCTCTCCTACCAGACCAGCTGGTGGTGATTCCTACATCTTTAGGGAATTTGTTGGAGAAGTTTTTCACTTTCTCCATTACCAGTGTAGAAACTTTTTTTCAGGTTTTCTGTGTTACTACTCCTATATATTATATGTTCCAGATTACATTTTTATCTCTTCCCCCACCCCCATTCTTGCTGATCTTTTGGGTTTATTCCTTTAAAAAAAAAAAATTCCTTGGGTTGGGTATGTAATTCAATATTAGAGTAATTGCTTGCCTAACCTGCCTGTGAGTCTGGATTTGATCTCCAGCAACAAATGCACACA